CTATGGGTGCTTTGTTTACATGTCTCTGAGTAAATACTGAAGTTACGTGACATCTCATGATAAACCGAGAATGTTAAAATACTAGATGTGATACAATCAACTGAAGCTGTTCTGAGTTTAGAGTGTTTTACCGTTACAGATATGTGATGCCATGGGAAAGTGAGTTCATTGACTCGCAGCGAGTGTGGGCCGAGTACACCCTGAAACGACAGGAAGCCAATGCTCAGAACAGGTGAGTATTTAAATGTCTCCTATCAAAACTGATTCAATAGAAGTGCTGATGTTTCAAATTCATTAGATACAGGTTTTTTTACCCAATGAAAGAACTGCAGCGCTGTCCAAATTGAAGCAAAGTCATTATCACTAGTTTGATTTCATAGGCACAAATAATTTCTGAGTGTAGTAAATATTGTTTTGTTAATTACCTGAGATGGGTATGCGACTTGCTATAAATCTACTGTACCAGTGTTTGTGCTGTGTGTGTGGGTGGGGGGTTAGACAGACCTGACTGTATGAATTTTTAGAGACCAACATGACGTCTATTTGGCTGTAGATCCACTGTGCTTCTGTGTGTAGTTCAGTTTTACAATCAGCCAGACAGTAACACCAGTGTATTTGACTGTGCAGCATTTCATTGTCTGTATGGCCTCAATATGTTGGTAACACAGATTTTGTAGAATGAGACTTTACTTGTCGTCCTTGTCCTAAAATTATATCTCTTGATTTGTTCACAATATTTTCTGATATTTGTGTCATTGTAACTTCTGGGAAATGATAGTGTTGTGGGATATTTTAATGGGTAATCAGTTATAGTCATAATCAATAATTGGTTTGTAATGGCAAGTAGTAAACTGATTGATGATCAATTGCATAATCAGTTCATAATTCCATTGGACTGAATTCTTAAACAATGTGAGATTACTATTTTTACATCAAGACAAAGTTATTAACTATGCATTGGATTTCATTCTTTATAATGGATGAATTATAATTACAGTTTTGATTTTTTTCCTATTTTACCATCAATCATATTATTATCAAAATCACAAAAAGACATTTCTTTCAATGCATACTTTACATTGCTCATTCACATTTGACATCTGAGTTCAGTAATGAACCACTTCGATTATGGAATTTGTAATAGATTAACGGAATGGGACAGGGCAAACCTACTATCAGCCCATTACTATTGTATCGTTCCGTTCAAGTCTCAAGTGTCTAATCCTCTGTTGTGTTCTGTAATGAAACTCTTGATGATTCGGTAAATACCTTTGATCACAGCAGAATATCCTGACAAAGCTAAACAGATACTTTTATCATTGATACGATAAATCCTGAACATCATCATTTTAGATAAATTGTTATCACATAAACTGACTTTTAAATCTGTGTCCTGTAGGCGTTTGACCCTGGAGGACTTAGAAGACAGCTGGGACCGTGGAATCCCAAGGATCAATACTTTGTTCCAGAAGGACCGACACACACTCGCCTACGACAAGGGATGGCGGGTCCGAACCGAGTTCAAAGCCTTCCAGGTACTGCACAGATAAGATTTTTTGTAAAATTATGGCTGTAAATGAAATTCAGAAATAATTTAACTCTGACCTTTTCCCTTTCAAACCGACATAAAGAAGTATGGTCCATACATTAAATTGCATTATGCACAATAATACAAAACTTCTACATTTTGCCACCAGTTCAGAAAAATGTTGGCAGCGTAAAGGGGTTTGACAATACAATGTGATGGAATTGTTCAGAAAAAGGGAAGGGGGACATTAAAAGATGTTGAATGAAATGAGAGGAATTACATTTTGGTTTTATTGTGCTTTTGATAAATTTGTTATTAAGAAGTATTTACTGCAGCATAATGTAGAACATAGCAGGGTTGTGTATTGATGAAAAAGATTCAAATCAAAGAACATGTAATGACAGATAATTGAGTACATTACGATGATCTACTAGCCCCAATGCTAGAAATGTAGGGTTAATAATTATGCTATGCTAGACAATTTTGGTCACGCATGATTAGCTACTCTTGATACACCTTTGTTCATACATGGTGGTTTCTCCTGACAGGTACTGAAGCTACTCTTGATACACCTTTTTTCATACATGGTTGTTTCTCCTGACAGGTACTGAAGCAGAATCCATTCTGGTGGACGCATCAGCGACACGACGGGAAGTTGTGGAACCTGAACAATTACCGCACAGACATGATCCAGGCTCTAGGGGGCGTGGAGGGAATTCTGGAACACACACTCTTCAAGGGGACATACTTTCCAACCTGGGAAGGTCTCTTCTGGTAAGCTGAAGGAAAGGGTGGATTGAAATCTTTAACTAAAAATTATTTTTATGTTTAAAAATAATTTGCCAAACGAAGTTTAAATAAAAAATCAGATTCCAAGAAAATGCAGTGTGGAAATTTAATCCGGCAGTGATTTTCACTGAAAGAAAGAAGAAATTTTGATTTTGAAATAAGTCTTCTATACTAAGAATTTAACAACCAGCAAATATGTAGTGTCACTTAGATAGGAATTTAGGCAGTCATCAAATAACATCTTTCAGTTTAAGGGGCCATTATGTATCAAGTTTATCTCAGACAACCCAACAAACCTGATTGTGAAATCATTTTATACTGTAATTGTGCACCCCACAGGGAGAAGGCCAGTGGATTTGAAGAGTCGATGAAGTATAAGAAACTTACGAATGCCCAGAGGTCTGGTCTCAACCAGATCCCCAACCGTCGCTTCACACTGTGGTGGTCCCCAACCATCAACAGGGCCAATGTATGTATATATATAACTGACTTTGTTGCTGTTATAAGATCATGATACTTGATATTCCTTTGAATATGTGGTAATTACCTTACTTGTTTCTCCACATGCTGTAGCTGTGGCAATCCCCAGTAATAAACAGGACCAAAGTTTTTCGCACCTCAGAGATATCCCACGTCATACCCCATGCCAGATTTGTTTCTTTCTTGTCCGATCTATCTGGTACATTTACGTGACATTTAGTGGAAATTTTAAACAGTGACGTATTCATCCGTGCTTAAACTGCTCCAAAATGACCAGCTGCATTATACATATTCTGTTTTGTCGTTATATGTATTGTTTTGATGTAAATTATGTAGTTAGATTTCTGATGTTTTAGATAAAATATAATCTACACTGTCAAATACGTTGTCTTCTTTGTAAAGACGGACTACATTTTTATACGGTTTATCTCAGTCTCGGGCTAAGATTCTGTAACATCCTAGTCTAGGCTTACGCCTCGGTTGGGACTATGTTACAGAATCTTAGCCCTGGACTGAGATAACCCGATCTCGGTAAGTTACAGGTAATAGATTTTATTAATGTATCTAACACCCCTACTCCCTTGATATTAATAAAACCTGCTGAAACCTTCCTTGAAATGAATTGTTAGTTTTAATCGTTGTCATGCTCTGCTACTTCTTTCCCTTCCACAGGTATATGTAGGCTTCCAGGTACAGCTCGACTTGACAGGTATCTTCATGCACGGCAAGATTCCAACCCTGAAGATCTCACTCATCCAGATCTTCCGTGCTCATTTGTGGCAGAAGATCCACGAGAGCGTAGTTATGGATCTTTGTCAGGTACGTTTCCCATTTTATCATTGCTCTTTCGATGCAAATTTTTGAAATATTGAAGCATCTTACTGCTGTTGTTATCTTTTACAATGTTTGTCAATTTTTATCAATTTCAATTTTTTTCTATAATAGTATATGATAATTTTTGTATGTGTACAGTTTTTAACCTTTGACTATTCAGTTTCCTTTTGGTGTTGTTAAGTTTCGCGTTTGTCCCTTGTTATTGTTGTCGGGGCCCGATATGACAGTCACTTTTCTGTATGTGGTCTACTCTTGTCCCTGTATGCCTGTCCCCCCATAAGCAAACATTCCGAAAAATTATTTGCTACACCACTGGTTACAGCTGCCTTTATGTGATTGTCTGTCTATGCCCCCCCCCGGTGAACCACTTTGTCAAAGAGTGATCATTTCTGGTATGAGTTGAAAAGTATAATTTTCAAATCATTGTTGTCTCTCAGCAAGCTGGACTTGAATACAAATGATCAACCTAAATTTCTGTTTGCAGGTGTTTGACCAGGAACTAGATGCCCTGGAGATTGAGACAGTCCAGAAGGAGACCATACATCCACGGAAGTCGTACAAGATGAACAGCTCATGTGCCGACATCCTCCTGTTTGCTGCTTACAAGTGGAATATGTCCAAACCCTCGCTCCTGGCCGACTCCAAGTATGTAAAACGCACCACTGTGTTTAGAAACATTACTGATCAGCATATAGCTTAATGTGAAGAAGACAGTAGGTTTAAGACGAGGAAATAATATAGGAAATAATATGGTATTTAATAGGCTTAAACTGCTATTTTTCATCAATTATTTTGCATTGAGATATAAAAAGTGATCTTGAATTAAGTTTTTAAAAATATGATACGTTGATTAAGATTAATAGGCTAAAACCATTATTATATTAGCTGTTTTGCTTTCAATTTGCTTTACTTTACAACGCGTTTTTTTAACTAGAACAGATATAAGCATGCAGGGATCTGAATGTTTGAGGAAATAGGGTTACCCAGTGAAAACTTTACCCATATTGGAGAAAGGTGAAAGGCTAACCACTGTGCCTTCCCACTTCTGCATTGAGATGTACACTGACACATGAAGTTTTCCTGTAGAAACGTAAAGTTTGACCGATGTTTTGTGATCCTGATGCTATTAAGATGTATGTATGATGACGTTGTGCTGTGATTGTAGAGATGTGATGGACAACACCACGACCCAGAAGTACTGGCTGGACATACAGCTGCGTTGGGGCGACTATGACTCGCACGACATTGAGCGCTACGCCCGAGCCAAGTTCCTCGACTACACGACAGACAACATGAGTATCTACCCGTCTCCAACAGGTCTGCTGATCGGCATCGACCTGGCCTACAACCTGCACAGGTAATCATAGTTGTGCCAATCATAATTGAACTTAGTAGTTGTATTTACTTTAGAAATACAAAACAACTCATGAGCTTAGATACCAAGAGATACAAACAGACTTGACATCAGATCTAAAATGTGAACTGCATTGATGTCTGCTTTGATGTGTTAAACTCTCTATGCTTTGGGGCAACCAGTGTCAGATTGGATCTTACAAAGGAATTATTTTGATATTGTTAATCTTTCAGTGGCCTGAAGTGAAAATATTGTTTTATTGTGGCAAATCTGTCTGTCTGTAGGTCAATTCAAATCTAACTTTGTCTCTGTACATAAGTTCAAAATAGATATCAGTTTCCATTGTTGTTTTTGGCAACACATATAGGTTTGCAAATCATTATTGAACTTATTTTTAATCTTAATCTTTCAAGAAGTATGAAACTTAATTACTTTAATTGCCTTTACTTTCTTTAATAGTTTCTCTTTTTCCAGGGCTTAAGAACGATGACAAGATAGGAATTGTTTTAAACATGCGTTTACTTTCTCCTACAGTGCTTATGGTAACTGGTTCCCTGGCTGTAAGCCCCTGATCCAATCAGCCATGGCCAAAATCATGAAGGCCAACCCTGCGCTGTATGTGCTTCGGGAGCGCATCAGAAAGGGCCTGCAGCTCTACTCGTCTGAGCCCACAGAGCCCTACCTGTCCTCACAGAACTACGGCGAGCTCTTCTCCAATCAGATCATCTGGTTTGTGGATGACACCAATGTCTACCGAGTCACCATCCACAAGGTAGGTCAGAGGTCACCATGTAAGGAGTAGGTCAGAGGTCACCATGTAAGGAGTAGGTCAGAGGTCACCATCCACATTGTATGCTATAACGCTTTAATTTATTGGCTAAAACACAAGGTTTGTTACTTAAAATATTCAAAGGGTTTTAATTTTCAATCAAGACCATAAATAGCCCTCAATAACTCTTTCAGGAGGATGACTAATTTGCAGTGTTTATAGCAAAAATACTGATGTTCCTTCGTATTGATTTGATGAGTTTAAGACATCAACATATATCATTTCAGATAATAAAGACAAATCATGAACTAACCCAGCTTTCATAACTACAAAACACTGATTTACAGATTTCACATACTAATGATAATGAAGTAATGAAAACCGTTACATGACTAAATGTTCTTCCAATTTCACAGACATTTGAGGGAAACCTTACAACCAAGCCTATCAACGGTGCCATCTTCATCTTTAATCCCCGAACTGGTCAACTTTTCCTCAAGATCATTCACACGTCGGTCTGGGCTGGACAGAAACGTCTCGGACAGGTAGGGCACAAGCGGTCAATTAAATATCGTCAAACAGAAGAAAAGATCTGTTTCTGGTCAGGTTTCCTTGTTTTTTATCCTGATATAGGAAAGGGTAACAAAATGATGGCCGTCCCACTTTATTTGGCGTCGTCCCATAATATAACAGATGTAGTATTTTAGTTTGTGGTCTGTGTGATCTATTGAATGTGACAAGAAAAACAATTCACTGCATTCTCATTTTCAAGGTTTTATACTGCCAAGAACATCAGAAAAGTAAACTGTCCAAAACTGAGCATGTTAACCAGAAATGGTTCATGTCTATACATTTGGGGTCTAATTAAACCTTTTCCAAATACCTAAAAATAAATTCAATTTTATGTCTCAATATTCCTTATGTGTATCTTATTACAAGGACTGCAGAAAATCCCACAATCTACAAAAATAAAGAAAAAATCCCTGTGTGCACAATAATGCAAATATTATTTGGTTTGACAGTTGGCCAAATGGAAGACCGCAGAGGAAGTAGCTGCCCTGATTCGTTCCCTCCCAGTGGAGGAGCAGCCCAAACAGATTATTGTCACAAGGAAGGGTATGCTGGACCCCCTCGAGGTTCATCTCCTCGACTTCCCCAACATTGTCATCAAGGGCAGTGAACTCCAGCTCCCCTTCCAGGCCTGTCTCAAGGTATGTGGTCAATTTAAAGTTGATTTAGTGTGATGGAGATGTCGATAGTCATGTCCTCATTGTCTGTATACAAGTTCACAAGTGATGGTACCATCAGTTTAAAATGTATTGTCACTATCAGGAATATTTTGTCATTTCCTTCTATAAAATGACATTGTGCAGTGTGCATTTCAAAGTTCAAAGTTTGAGTGTTTGACGAGAGAAACAAAATAACCTGCTCAAATCACGTGGCAATCAGCAACCATTTTGGACGTTTGGAATATTTTGATTTTGATGAAAAGTCTTGCACATGCATATGATATATTTCTGCTTGCGTTTGATTTTGAATCAGATTTGAATATCAACATGGCTTCCAAAAGGTGCAAGCAACACATGTACCTCTGTGAAATTGTTGTCTTGATAAATAAAGAAACATTGTCATTTCAAAATATTTGAGTCAATGTCAAGTTTTACAGATTATAAGTATAAAGAAACTAATGAAATTTCACCTTTTCCATTTTCAAGATTTTATTTTATTTACAAACTATTCTATTGCACTGAAATAAGTTGTCAGGTATTTGTCAAATTTACTGGTATTGAATTTGAATTGTTATTTACAGTGCGTAACACTATGCATGAAATAATAATAATGATAATAATTTGAGGTTCTTATATACCGCTTTA